GACGTCACATGATAAGTCAAAATCAAAATCATTTATTTCAATTAGACCAGGAAGCCCCTTTTGCACTACAACAATAAAAATTTAAAAGTGAAGCTATTTGCTCATTTCAAGGTGTAGATTCCTATGGAGAAGAACGAGCAAGACTCGCCATAGGTTTTTAACTCCATTCAAACCGTATCGTCGAATGAATTTCATTTTATAAAAAATAAAAGTACATGTATATGTGTGTGGTGGGTGTGTAGATGCATCAATATATATATATGTATATATTTAATTTTTTGTCTTTGTCTAACCATACAACGTTGCTACCATCCGTGCGTCACTGCATGCCCACTGAAAATCAGTGCTGGGTAACCTGTATGCCTGGCTTACACTGAGTGGGTGACCCTTTTAGCATAGGCATGTTGTCAGCGTCTCTTTTCTAATTCTTCTGTTTCAATTTTTCAACTCTTATATTTTTATTACTTCCACTGTCACATCTTGATTGTCTTTTTTTATTTTTTATTTATGCTGCATCGTGCCTGGTGCTAAATAAATGTTTTTTCTTTCTTTCTTTCTTTCTTTCTATGTCTAATGTTTTAAAATAATCTACCATTAAAATAATTTTTACGATACTACTCTATTATTCAACGAACACAGTTCTAATTTCACAAAACGTAAATTGTACGAAAGCAAATTTTCATTACCAGTTTTTATGTCATTGTAGTCAATTCATTACGATCCAATCGCCACCATGGTAAACAGAATGCGATTAAATATTCATCAAGTAGTGCTCATTTCAAAGATCAGAGTCGTGCGTATGATAACAACCGCGTCCCCAGTTCTTAACCACTCAACCACTGTGAAAATGAAGCCATCACTATGTAAATCCCACTACTACATCACTGTTAAGCCTTTTGCCATATACTATGCCTTTTGCCATATACTATGCCTTTTGCGCTTCCGTTCTCATGATACTCAGCGCGGAATTTTACCAAATGCACCCACTACGTACCTAATACACGTCCTCTTTGACAAAGACGCCTATTGCAATACACTGGGCACAATAGGGTAGATGCTTAATTTTTTATTTTAATGTCCGTCTGGTAGGTTATTTTAAATCATTAGACACGTATTTTTTTTTCTTACAGAAACTAATACTTTCGACGCTATTGATTGGAAATGTCGCGTGACGTCACTTCTACCTCTATGTACATTTTATACGTAGAAATGACGTTTTAGCCCCCACTCTTAAACTTTGATTCGTTATATTAAGTATCCATTTATTATACAACAAAATAAAAAGTACGTTTACTAATATTGACTGAAGGACTAATTACATTTTTAATTTTCATACCCTGTCATCATCCCAATTGGGTACTTGCCAACTAGGTATTCAAATTCAATACTTTTTTCGAACTGTCGATAACGACAGTTTTCTATGAATTTTTGTATGAGATTGTGTTTTGTGACGTCACGTTTTTTTAGCGTCAAACAACATACTTATTTGCTAAAAATTTGCTGGAAAAATACTTACTAGTTAGTCATAAAATCAATTAATTTTGTGATTAATTTTTCATGTTTTATTGTATTGAACAGTCGAAATAATTTGTTTCTGATTAAGGCAAGTACCCAATACTAGGTTACTATTCTATTACTGAGCATTTCGAAATCAAAGCCCTTAAGGAAACCTAACCCACATCACGTCCTATGTCGCAATTTCCCAATTAATAAGACAAATCTATTGGTTGAGTTTATTGTGGTTTCTCTAATCAAAGAAATAGTATATTATTTTTAAACTGATGAATTACGTATGCTATGTACGCCATTATTGTCACATGCAAGCCTGCCTCGCAAGTCGGGTAGGGGTCTCGGGTTAGATTCCCGGTTCGGGCAATTTATTACTTGGTTTTTTACAAAAATCTCTGGAGTTGTGCCCCGTATATGGCAATGGGCTCACCCCCTATTACATGGGGCTCATAACATAAATAGTGAAAAGTGGGTGTTACATTGTACAGTGGCATTAAGTGCACTTCTGCCTACCCCTTCAGAGATAAAAGGCGTGATGAATTGTTATGTTATGCATCAAGCCATTATTTTGTTACTTTTATATATTTTAAATGTGTTTGTGACTCCTTCGAAAAACAAATAAAATGGTGCGACTTCTGACCAAGGCGTTCCTCAGGTGGAGCATTACTGCTATTTTCTGTGTACCTGATGGTATATTTGATCTATTTCCTCCAGACACGGAGCCGGTGGGAGGCGCCTTAAGATTCAGCACAGCGGTCAAATCTCTGCAACATCTAAATCCATTGGTGCTTTTCAGTGGAGATATCTTCTCGCCGAGCATGTGTGAGTAATGTCTATACTTTATATTTGTTTCTTTGTTTAAACGTGCTAATCTCTACTACAGTGCCTTTAGCCAAACGCCAAACGCTTGTCTACAGAGAGAGTACACACGCCCGGTATATGGCAATAGGCTCACTCGTTATAACATGGGACTCATAACATGAATAGTGAAAAGTGGGTGTTACATTGTACAGTGGCATTAAGTGCCGTAATGTGCACCTCTGCCTACCCCTTCGGGAATAAAAGGCGTGATGTTATCTTAAAAATATTTTGAATTTCTGTGTAAAATTTTAATCGATCCACTCGTTATTTTCGGCCTTATAAGTCACTGAATTCATAAATCCTCTCAATACCTACCTTAATTTCTAGTTACTTCTGTTTTTTTTCAACAACCCGCATTGAGAAAGCGTGGTGATTAATACTCAAGCCTTCTCCGTGTGAGAAGAGGCTTTTGGTCAGTAATGGCCACTTATAGGCTGTTGATGTAAAGTGTGTGTGTATATTTCTTTAGCGTCTGATAAATACAATAGTATTCGTATTACTATAACTAATTTTTTACTTTATTTATATTATAACTTTTGTGAGACATACTAAATTAATAATTATATTTCTCGGCTTACCCATGTAACTAACAGTAGCTCTTCAGTAGCAGCACTACACTGACAGTCGCTGAATCGCGGGTCGCGGAATGCTGCTCAATATGAGCCTCTATATAGCATAGCTTGAAACTAGTCAAGTTCCTTGTCAAATAATTACGTGAGTAATCCGAAAAACATAATAATGAATCATTTACTTTCTTATTCCAGTGAGCACATTCACAAAAGGCGAGCAAATGGTACCGGTACTGAATGAAATCGGAACGCATTGCGCCGTGTTCGGAAACCACGATTTTGGTGAGTGAAAGTATACTCTTATGTAGGTGTAGATTATAATTAGTTGTTTATTTGTATATTTGAAAATAGACTGCCCCGTTGGCCGAGTGGTGGCAAACCCCCTTATATGCATAAAGGAGGCCCATTGATAGCCCAGCAGGTAAATGGTGACAGGTTGTTGATTTTTTTTTATAGCATAAGCCGGTAAACGAGCCCAAGGACACTCGAAGCCGGTAAACGAGCCCAAGTGCGTTACCGGCCTTTTGGGAATTGGGATTTTGAATATTGTGGAGGGTTCGGGGATTTGGGAAACGGGGATTAGGGAGAGGAGTAATTGAGCCTCCGGCCACTCACACGACGAAACACAACGCAAGAGTGGTTTCACGTCGGTTTTCAGTGAGGCCGTGTATCACTCCGGTCAAGCCGGCCTATTCGTGCCGAAGCATGGCTCTCCCACACTTTTGATGATGACGTTGTTCATTCTAATTGTTTTCATACACGTGTGAATCCTTAACCATCTGACATGCAACAATGTATTAAATTGTTTATTATACATATACAAAGTGTTGTTTTTAAGCCGCGTCATTTTCTAGGAAGTACTCGGCTATCGATTCTGAGTCCGAATCAATAAAAATAATTGTACTTAAATATTTTTCATTTTTCTGTAAATTACGGAAATCCGTAAGTGCGAACTACACGCCGCCGTCTTGTAACTAGCTTTATAATGCGGCTTAACACACACAAACTCAAACACGTAATTGATATTATTCCTAATTCCATAAAACTCCAATAAGAAACATTGCTGTCGCTTATTCTGAAATACTGTCGAACTTAAACGATTTATTATAGTCGTATTTTTAACTATTGGCCCGAAATTTTCTCTTACATTGAACCTTAATGACTTCTGTGACATGCCCCCAAGAAATGACACGGTTTCAAAACTACACCTTGTATACTTACTTTGGTACAATAATACCTAGGTATAACAACTACGTGCCAAACCTGTCGACAATATCTTCCTAGTTGTCAATTCTCGATACAGATACAAGTAACACCACTGTTGGAATCTTGCCCAGAGATTAGCAATAGGCTCAACGCCCAGAACTTTACTACCGTATACAATACTTCCTACTACAGATTTGGTTTTTTATTATTTTAATAATTTGGAATATCCCCAAACTCTGATCCCAAACTAGGATTTGTTAATGGCTTCGTTTTATGGAACATTCTTTGCTCTAAATCTCACGGAGCCCGAGACCTTTCCAACGAATGCAAAACCGTGGAAATCGGTTCGTGCGTTCTGGAGTTATAGCGTCAGGAAGGAAAACCCGACTTATTTTTATATAGTAGAATAAGATTTGAAATTAAACTACTTTCTTTGTCTTCGAAGGTACAGTGGAAGTATCACACGTGGTAGATCCAAGCTTCGGCTTTATGGTCAGCTCAACCGAAGTGATACCACGGCCTCACCACATCTATAGTATATATAAAAGAAAGTCGTGTTAGTTACACTATTTATAACTCAAGAATGGCTGAATCGATTTGGATGAAAATTGGTAGGGACGTAGCTTAGAACCAGGAGACGGACATAAGATACTTTTTACCCAATTCTTTTTTTTTACTTTTTACTGAAAATCAAGAACGGGAAATATCGGGATTGCGCGTACGAAGCCGCGGGCAGAAGCTAGTTTACCCATAAAAAATTAATCTACAATAGACAAAAACATGCTATGCTGTATTTTAATAGTCAACCTTAATATTATCTTTATCTGTCTCTCTCTCTCTTCCGGTTGCTTCCTCATGACTGAGGATCGTGATCCTCTTGCCATCACTCTGGATTCTGATGAATTGTCTCCATCGTCTCCTGTCTGCGGCCATTGTATTGTGGTGTAAAACCTCGATGCTGGGTTGTCTGTGAGCTGGTCAGACCATCTGGTTGCCCTTCTCCCCTCAACATTTCCCACGATAATGAGTTTCTCCAAATTATCCCTCCCCCTGCGTCTCGCTATAATAATATGTCCAAAATAGCTCATGATGCGTCTAGGCACAAAGTGTATGAATGTTACATTATACTTCATCTTAACCCTTTGAGTACCGTGATTATAGACACAATTAAAGAACAATAGGTTGCGGTCACCGGTGTCCTCACGGTTAATCTAAAACCATTATTTACAGATACTGCCTCGTTGGCCGAGTGGTCGCAATTGCGACTGCCGGGTAAGAGGTCCCGGGTTTGATTCCCGGGTCGGGCAAAGTATTACTGGGTTTTTTAAAAATTCTCAGTAGTAGCACGGAGTCTGGAACTGTGCCCGGTATATGGCAATAGGCTCACCCCCTATTACATGGGACTCATAACATAAATAGTGAAAAGTGGGTGTTACATTGTACAGTGGTATAATGTGAACCTCTGCCTACCCCTTCGAGGATAAAAGGCGTGATGTTATGTTAATGTTAATGTGTCTTTACAGATTTCGGCCTAGAAGTCCTGTCAGGCCTAGTGGCTCAGTGCAACTTCCCGTGGTTGATGTCCAACGTGATAGACAACGAGACGGGCCGACCACTCGGCGACGGCAAGATCACACACGCACTCATGTGTAATGGACATAAGATCGGATTCATTGGATTGGTCGAACAAGTAAGGTTTTTTTAAACGAGCAACGAATGGAGTTTCTTGCTCGTTCTTCTCCATTCAAATCTACATTTTGAAATAAGCACTTAACTTCACTGACGGACTGACTGACAGACTATTATTTATTTTGTATTTGTTGATGTTTTAAAAGTACCAAATTATGGTGTAATTGAAATACTTTTAAATACTTGGTCGAGTGGTTGAGGTGGTTGCTAGGTATATGTATAGGGTTGAGTTCAGGTAAATGGTTTATTATATAATAATTGTTTTTGAAATATTTTGCATACATGTCTCTTAAACTCGCCAATTATTTTGTCTTGGTGATAGAGGGCCACTTTAATACAGAAAAATCTATTTCTCCTGAAATAAGACATCTCTCATAATTATATCATTTTTGACGAGCGTGACCTCAATATTTTCCCCACAATTAAAAAATATCTATTCACCAAATTCTCAAAATACTGACAACTTTTACACAAAATGAAAAATACAATAGTCCTGATTGTTTGAAATATTTTAATATTAATAGGATATGTTAATTATTATGTTTTCGGCTTACTCACGTAGTAATTCGACGAGCAACTCGACTAGTTTCAAGCCATGCTTGAGGTCCTTGTCGAATTACTACGTGAGTAAGCCGAAAACATAATAATTTATTTAGTATGTCTCACGAAAGTTACAATACAAATAGGATATGTTGCCTATGTTCAGCAGTTGATGATGTTCTAAAATTCTTTTCTTTTCTATTTAGGAATGGTTGGAGACTCTAGCGACTATAAACCCAGAAGAGGTGACGTTCATTGACTTCGTACAGGCGGGGACTAAACTAGCGACACAATTGAAACAAGAGGTAAATTCTTTTTTTCTTTGAGGGGGAAAATTATCACTTCTCCCCCTTTGGGTTAGGTGAGAGGGAGTGTCAGACTCTTATTGACTAAAAACCACCCCATTCCCACTCCTGCATTTCGAGCCGGAGCCCCGGTTACCCGTTAAGTTCTCCGCGACTCCGTATTGGCATCAGTCCTACTGGGCTCATCTGTGGTAGTCTTATGACAGCGAGCCCAATTATTTACGTTTAAATACATTTGTTGCCCTTCCACCGGTATCGTAAAAGTCGATTAATGATAGAAATATATAACCGGTTTGTTATATCGTTCGTAAGACAGCCTCGTTGGCGGAGTGGTCGCAAATGCGACTGCCGGGTGTTACAAAACACTTACTGGGTGTTAAAAAAATCTCAGTAGACTCACCCCCTATTACCCTCATAACATAAATAGTGAAAAGTGAGTGTTACATTGTACAGCAGCATTAACTGCCATAATGTGCATCTCTGCCTACCTCTTCAGGGATAAAAGGTGTGATGTTGTGTTATATAACCGGTTTCAGTACAAAATCAGTTGTAAGGTTAAATTTTGACATTAGTATCTGTCTAAAACGTATTAATTTTGTCGTTAGGGACTATATATTTACCAGACTGGGCAGCATTGCTTTAAACTGTCAAACATCGCGAGGACACCGGTGACCGCAACCTATTGTTCTTTAATTGTGTCTTTAATGAATAATGACGGTACTCAAAGGGTTAATTAACTTGGACGTTTTAATCTGCGTTCTCCAACCCGTCTGCCAAAGAACTAAATATGGCAGACCCTCATATGTAGAAGGGACTTATATATAGTTCAGCAGTGGACTGTCATGAAGATCATGTCAAGAATACCGGAGGCCCAATAACCCCCCCCCCCCCCCATTCCCTAATCTCCTCAATCCCCGAATACGCAACTATCTTCATATTCCTAATCCCTCTAAGGCCGGTAACGCATTTGTAATGTTTCATGTGTCCATGAGCGACGCCGATTGCTTACCATCAGGTGATACGTCTGCTCGTTTACCGACTTGTTTCATAAAGAACTGTTTATGATGACTGTACAATTTCTTTCTTTATTTCCAGGGTTGTGAGTACGTGATAGCACTAACACACATGCGCACTCCGAACGATATAAAGCTGGCGGAGGGATGTAACGACATCGACCTCATACTGGGAGGACACGACCATGTGTATGAGGTTACACGTAAGTACTATTTTTGAAACAATTCCTAATTAATTTTAAAAAAACATTGCCCCCCCCCCCTATAATAGTCTCCTGTGTCGTGGGTGCGTTAACAAACATACAAGTTCGCATACACATCACACCCAGACCAGAAACAACAATCTATGGATCACACAAAAAATTGTTCTGTGCGGGAACTCAGCCACCGCGCCAACCGTGCAGTCATTGTGTCGTATGTCTTATAAGCAATATAGGCTCGAGGCTGGGGGCGCGACGGCGCACGGTCCAGGCCGATGCCTGTCTCGGCGGGTTCTTTCGCAGCCTGCTACGAATATTGGCTCCTTAACTTACCTTCTATAATAGTTATTCCAGTAGCGCCCGAATACTAAGCAAAGCAAAACTAAAAGATAAAGCAAACTTGTACTATTCATTATTCATATATATGGCCTCAGAAGTGTTTATTACACTTAGAAGGTTTTAAGTACATTGATTAACCGACTTAAAAAAAAGAGGGGTTAGAGTAGGATTTTTAAAAGTAGTTTATAATGTTTAAGTATTTCTGTTATAATTAAAATAAACTGCCTCGTTGGCCGAGTGGTCGCAATTGCGACTGCCGAGCAAGGGGTCTCGGGATCGATTCCGGGTCGGGCAAAGTATTACTGGGTTTTTAAAAAAATCTCAGTAGTAGCACGGAGTCTGGAACTGTGCCCGGTATATGGCAATAGGCTCACCCCCTATTACATGGGACTCATAACATAAATAGTGAAAAGTGGGTGTTACATTGTACAGTGGTATAATGTGTACCTCTGCCTACCCCTTTGAGGATAAAAGGCGTGATGTTATGTTATGTTATGTTAAAATAAAAAATAATAATTTTATTTCATCTAATATTTTGCAAAATTTTTTTTTTATATTTTTTTTTAATTTTAAGCAAGAGTTTGCTTGTGGTAGGCGATCCTTCTTACTATAGTACATTTTTGATAAACTTAAGTTTATTATTTAAATTCGAATTTCCAGATAAACAACAAATACGTTGTAAAGAGCGGCACAGACTTCCGTCAGTTCAGTAAGATCAGCATCAACTTCGGTGAGGAAGGTGTACAGGTTGATATCGCGGAGATGGACGTCACAAGCGCGTACGCAGAGGATCTCGTGTTGAAGGAGAAAACTGATAAGTATTCTTGTAAGTACATACATATTTGTTTCACAGAGAGCTGTTGGGAAGCATAGAGTGTAACTTACTCTTCAGTTTTCGACAGAATAGGGTAGTTTCTTAAATTTTATTTTAATGTCCGTCTGGTACATTAATTTAATACTTATTACAAAATACATTACAGTACATTACGGTACATTAATTATATACACGTATATTTCTTTTCTACCAAAATTAAATACTTTCGACGATATATTAGCTCGTTGGGTACCGTCATTATAGACACAATTAAAGAATAATAGGTTGCGGTCACCGGTGTCCTCGCGGTGTTTGACAGTTTAATTTGAAATATCGTGTGACGTCACAGCGTGCCACATTTTGTAGCACGTTATGACGTAACGACCTCCCACTCCTAAAGTGTTGTTGCAACTTAATACGAGAAAAAAACAACAATCTTCATATTCCTAACCTAACCTAAACCCTCTAAGGTCAGTAACGCATTTGTAATGTTTCATGTGTCTATGAGCGACACCGATTGCTTACCATCAAGTGATCTGTCTGCTCGTTTACCGACTTCATCAACAGCCTATAAATGCCCACTGCTGAGCAAAGCCTCTTCTCACACGGAGAAGGTTAGAGCATTAATCACCACGCTTGCTCAATGCAGGTTGGCGATTTCAAACTTATAATTAGAAATTATAAGTCCAGGTTTCCTCACGATGTTTTTCCTTCACCGTTTGTCAGTGGTGTCTAAATAATCTTAGAAAGTACATGTAACTCTGAAAAGTCACATTGGTACTTGCCGTTGGTAGGTTTCGAACCCGCACCCTCATGCATGAGAAGTGGGCGTCTTAAACCTCCGGGCCACCACGACAATTATTACCGACTTATCCCATAAAAAAGGATTATTTTCTTTGATATTTAAGATATATTTACCTATACGATCTTCTAACTCATTTTATCTTTCACAGCAATGATCGAAGGCAAAATGGACGAGGTGTTAGGCAAGATCTGCGTTCCACTGGAAGGTCGGTTCTCCTGCATCAGACGGCAGGAGTGTAACCTGGGGAACTGGATCTGTGATATACTACTCGCTGCTACTGGGGCTGATCTTGTAGTACTCAATTCTGGCACTTTTCGGTCTGATCAGGTTGGTAGTATTGTATTTTGTATAGTTATTAATTATTGTACACTCGACGACCCATATCAGACTCCTATTACTGCTCCATCCAAAGGTTGTCTGTAAGAAATCGCCTTGTGCGATAAGACCGCCCATTGTACACTATTTTTGTTAATATTTATCCTATAATGCGATTGTGTGGCGTACAATAAAAGTCAAAGCATTCATTTCAATTAAACCATAGTTTGGTACTTTTGAAACGTCAACAAATACAAAATAAATAATAGTCTGTCAGTCAGTCCGTCAGTGAAACTAGGTGAAGCTAGGTGCTCATTCCAAAAAGTAGATTCGAATGGAGAAGAACGAGCAAGAAACTCCATTCGTTACTCTTTTTAAAGCATATATTATTATTAAAATGGCAATAGGCGCACCCCCTGTTACATGTGACTCATAACATAAATAGTGAAAAGTGGGTGTTACATTGTACAGTGGCATTAGTGCCGTAATATGCATCTCTGCCTACCCCTTGGGATAAAAAGGCATGATATTATGTTATGTATGTTATTATTAATATATAAACTACCAAAAAGATGTGTTACACTTTTTAAAAAGTTGGTGACGGACTATTAATTTCGTGTTGCTTTGTCCGTGGGGAGCTATTGGTTACCATCAAGTAATCCGTCTGCTCATTGCTCCCTAGCCAGTGCCTTTAGCCAAACGCCACTTTAGCGCTTGTCTACAGAGAGAGTAGAAAACTAAATGTATGGGAATGTCACTGACAAGTGTCAAAATTTACGTCAATCGCATATAATTTAGTTTTCTATTCTACAAGTAGACAAGCGCTAAATGGCATTTGGCTACAGCTGCTGTAAAGAAACCGTCATCAAATGAGCTTAGCATTCCGAACAGATGACAGATGATTACATGGCTAAAGTCTTTTTTACATTTTTCTCTTTTTGAACTAATGATTTTCAACTACAAACGTGTAATTTAACTGTATATTGGTATAATTGTTAAAGCAATCTTATAACACAAATCATCAATAGATGATTTTTTTATACTTTGCCCCACACTAGAATTTTCTCCTGTGTCGTGTGTGCGTTTACATACATACAAGTTCACATACACAATACATATCACACCCAGACCCGAAACAACAATTTGTAGATCACACAAAGAGTTGCTCCGTGCGGGAATCGAACCCGCTACACCAAAACTTCCATACTTCTATAAATAGCGACAATCTCGTTTCCTAAGTGCCTTTTCATATGTCCCGGTTGCCGGGTCGCCAGTGCCGGTTACTTGGCGCAGTGTATACAAACTACGCCGGTACGTGTGAAACATACAGTGCATGGCCATACACCGCGCCGTCCGGCACCCGGCAACCGGAACGTGCGGACATGTAAAAAGGCAATATCTCTTGACATTTCTGGTAAAAAAAAGTATCTTTAACGCCAAATCACCGCAATTACAGGTCCACGCAGCCGGTGACTTTACTCTCCGAGACCTGTCAACAATAATCCCCATGCGGGACCCACTCGTAGTGGTGGAAGCCACCGGGGAGGTCATACTGCAAGTCTTAGAGAACTCGGTGTCTAAATACCCGAGCTTGGAGGGACGGTTTCCTCAGGTAAGATGATAGAAATATTATAGTCTTTATGTATATCGTAACGCTACGTCCTGCGAAGGCGATCTAGACGCAAATGCAGAGTGGTGCAGCGCGACACGAAAACAATAAATTGTCGAAACCTTTTAAAGTGTAGGACACTTCACAATATGACCGGGAAGGCGAGGCAGAGCGGCGCGAACTGTTATAATTTTATAATCACTATCGTAAAACATACTAAATTAACTATAAATCGCGGGTCACTCACGTGAATATACTGAGAAAAGCTCGACTAGTTTCGAACCACAGAGGGGATCTTCCTCATGAGCAGCGTGCACGGTTGCGGCGATGCGCAGCCTAATGGTACTACTAGTGTAGTAACCCCTCTGTGGTTCGAGAGTTTTTCAGTATATTCCCGTGAGTAACCCGCGATTTATAGTTAACTGTTATATTTAAGTGTGAGAGAGCCATGCTTCGGCACGAATGGGCCGGCTCGACCGGAGTGATACCACGGCCTCACAGAAAACCGACGTGAAGCAACGCTTGCGTTGTGTTTCGTCGTGTGAGTGAGGTTACCGGAGGCCCAATTACCCCCCCTTCCCCAATCTCCCCAATCCCTGAATCCCCAACGATCCTCAAACTCCTAATCCCCAAAAGGCCGGTAACGCACTTGTAACGCCTCTGGTGTTCCAGGTGTCCATGGGCGACGCCGATTGCTTACCATCAGGTGATCCGTCTGCTCGTTTACCGGGTTATGCCATAAAAAATATTTATAACCGGTGCTGGCATGTTTTTGTTTAGTTATAATGACGGACACAAAAACGCAGCCATTGATTGATACTATTATCATCATTCGTTATAACATACTTTTTCTCCAGGTTGCAGGAGTATCCTTCGCCTTCGACCCCTCAAAGCCAGCAGGTCAGAGAGTGGCGGAGCAGGTCGTGAAGATAGGAGACGAGTACCTGCAGAAGGAGCAGGTCTACCGACTGGCTGTCAAGCAGTACCTTCATAGTGGGAACGATGGATTTACTATGCTGCCTAAGTGTAAGATACTGGTAAGTACGATAGATGATAAAGTAGAAGGCGCCATAGACGGACGTGTATCGTACCAAAAATGGGATATATTGAATAATTCTTTTATAAACCACACAACAAACTGACTTCAACGCCCTCTTTTTTGAACATAACATAACATAACGCCTTTAATCCCCGAAGGGTTAGGCACATTACGGCACTTAATGCCACTGTACAATGTAACACCCACTTTTCACTATTCATGCTATTTAAAGTCTTATTTGAAGTCGGTTAATAAATAGTACGATAATTAAGTAGGAAATATGGGGGTTTCCTGGGAGTTTTGAAAGGCAATTTTATAGATATCAACAGCTCTTTTGGATTTCCATTTTGCACCGTTTTACGGGCACCGAAGACAAGCGCTAAATGGCATTTGGCTACAGCTGCTGTAGAGAAAGCGACGTTTTTTTATTATGTATTCTTCTACAGGTATAATGCTTATGTGATTGTGGTACATATTTTAGAAAATTGCCAAAATCTCCGGCTTAGCTGTTTCTGATGAACCGCACATAGGAGATTTCATCCTGGGCATCTATCGATATGTCATAGTCGTTATTTTAAAAAAAATCTTATCTCGAACAGCATTTTAAGAGTGATGCTAATCTTCTTCTATACTTATAATAAATCTGTAGAGAGGTCAATTCTGTACATAAAATATATTTAAAAAATAACTATCAAGGGGTGGTTGGGGATCGCTACTGATGTCAAAAATGCAATCAGTAAAATTTTTGTCTGTCTGTCTGTCTGTCTGTATGTTCGTTATGGAAACAAAAACTACTCGATGGATTTTAACGAAATTTGGCACAATTATTCTTCATACTCTTGGGCAGGTTATAGTATACTTTTCATTACGCTACGATCAATAGGAGCAGAGCAGTGAAGGGAAATATTGGGAAAACGGGAGAAGTTACTCCATTTTTTAAGCTTCCGTCGCGTGTGCAGGCTTATAGGTTAAAGCTGCATAGAAATCATGTATGACGGAAATATTCTCCTTAAAATTATATTAATTCTAAAAATTATATATATAGGTAGATTATGGTCTGAAGTGATACATAGGCATTTTACCCCTGGGATCGCGGGCGAAGCCGCTGGCAGAAGCTAGTTATTATTATGTCTTGTTATATATGTCTATGTTGTCTGTGGCAAGCTGGCCACTTTCAATAGAACCTATTTATGTTCGTCTTTTGTTTTTAAAATATATGAGTGTGTTTCTGACTAGCTTGCTTAATTCACACGATAAAGAATTATTGCATTATATATTGAAAATATATAATATGTGTTTTTATGATAACTATCGTGAGACATACTAAATTAAGTAAAAACGCGGTGAGCTGCGCGACATCGCCGCGACTGCGCACGCTGCTCAGGGAGCGTTCAAGTATTACGTAACGCAATTTTTGAAGATTCTTGACCCCCCCTCCCCCCACTGTAACGCTCCGTAACGTTTTTCTGTACCCCCCCACCCCCCTCTCTTAAGGTTACGTAACACTCAAGTCATCATTTTTACCCTGAAGTCGCAAAAAGTTGTTATAGTTTTTATCCTTCGTATAGTTTTAATTGCCTTATAATAAAACAAGAGATTTTTAATTCGCAACACCTGCGTATTTTGTTTTTTTTTTATAAATTTTTGGCTTTACAAAACACAATTGTTTTTCTCCTTCATTCTCCTAAGTATTTTAGCATTTTTACTAATAAATTCTTCAAATAAAATAACATATTTATTTTAACCTTTGGCAATGCAATTATAAACAGAAACCCAACTGAAATTAAACATTTTACTTGAAATAAAATCGTTTTCTTAACAAAATTAAAAAATAATCAACTATTAACCAAGTATCTAAGTAGGTCTATTAAAACAATTCGATTGAAATTACTGCTCCTCTGTCCACGGGTTTGCTAGCCACTCAGATTCTTTCATCACTGGCACCTGGAGTGCAGTGCAGTGGACGTACAATACAATCTAGGGATTCCCCGTGAAATATAAACGAAAAGGTTTACCAACATGCGAGAACAAATTAAAAATGGCGACCAGACTAATACAATCGAGAGATTCCCCGTAAAACGTAAACGAAAAGGGTTGCCAATTTGGGAGTTTTATTTCCCTATTTTTTTATATAAAAAAAGAAATAATGTTACGTAACGTGTTGTAAGAAGGACCCCCTCCCGCCCGTGTAACGCATCGTAACGTTTTACGAGACCCCCCCGCCCCCCCAAATTGCGTTACGTAATACTTGAACGCTCCCTCATGAGGAAGAACCCCTCTGTGGTTCGAAACTAGTAGAGCTTTTCTCAGTATATTCACGTGAGTAACCCGCGTTTTTACATAATTTTATATAATATGTGTTTACTTCCAGATCCCAGAAGACATGTGTCCGGAGATAGGCATGGCGATCCAGAACCACTTCGCGGCCATCAACGTCCGCACCGGCCGGTCGCGGCCCAGCAAACATCGACAGTCTCTCGTCACGCTCAGTCGGAGGTATTGTGGCCTTGCCTTGTATTGTATTGTAGGCATATTGTATTATAAATATGTAATCGCCAACCCGCATTGAGCAAGCGTGGTGATTAATGCTCAAACCTTCACCGTGTGAGAAGAGGTCTTTGGTCAGCAGTGGGCATTTATAGGCTGTTGATGAAGTGTGAGGGTGAGGTTCACGAGTGACATGCATCACTCGACTAAGAAAAAGCATTTCTCCATATCCATTCACATCTGTAAATACACATCCTTACTAATATTATAAATCGGAAAGTGAGTTTGTTTGTTTGTTTGTTCCACCTTCACGCCGTAACTACTCAACCGATTGCTTTGAATTTTTGCAGACGTAAAGTTAGAAGTCTGGATTAAATAATAGGGTACTTTTTATCCCGGAAAAAAATTGATATTCTCGAGGGAAAACGAAATTATTGGTATAGATGGCGCTGTGTGTATTGGTATATGTCACATAGGCTACTTTTTATCCTTTTGTGACGCGAGCGAAGCCGCGGGTAAAAGCTAGTTGTATTATAAGTATGTAATCGCCAACCCGCATTGAGCGACCGTGGTGATTAATGCTTAATTAAACTCTGCCTTTGGTCAGTAATGGCCACTTATAGGCTGTTGATGAAGTGTGAGGGTGAGGTTCACGAGTGACATGAATCACTTGACTAAGAAAATATACTAAGAAAGTATTTCTCAATATCTATTCACATCCGTAAATGAACATTATTTAATATACATCAACATAACTTATAATATCTTCTGATTCACTTCGTTGCGGAAACCAAGACAGTTATTCATGTTCCTGAGACGCGCCGGACTTCAATGTTCCGGTGTTTTCATGGTTGTATCTACTGTCGATCCTTACAGGAGTTGCAGCGGTTTTGGAAGGTTGTAGCGGGCTTGTCCCATAAAAAAAAATACAGCACCATAGCCTAAAGCTAACAATAATATTTGCAGACACAGTCTAGTGAAGATGTTAGACGGCAGTGAGTTGGACGGTCCCCCGCCACTGCGGCGCGCGTCGTCCGCTGCCGCCGAGCCAATGTCGCATACTGGACATCACAGGTAACTGACATTAATTTATTTTAGCCATCGACGTCCCACTGCAGGACCGTGGTCTCCCTACCCTCCGTACGGCGCCGAGCCATCAGACCACCACGGATGGGACCCAATAGAGCTGATGCCGATACGGAGCCGCGAAGGACTTAACGGGTTTCCGGGGCTCCGGCTCGAAGTGCAGGAGTGGGAACAGGGTGGTTTTTAGTCAGTAAGAGTCTGACACTCCCTCCCGCCTCACCCAGGCGGGAGAAGTAATTCGATAATTTTTCCCCCTTAAAAAAATACATGTTTCACCTTCTGTATATTCAGGTTAACGCGTCGAGCCTCTCTAGACGACTTGGAACAACAATCCTGTGAGCTAGCACCGAGACTGGAAAACAGGATCATAGTGCTCAATAAACCAGAGGTCAGTCTCGTTTCTATTTATCACAAAAACTCCGTTTTTGATACTTGACCCCGTAATGACTGCCTCGTTGGCCGAGTGGTCGTAAGTGCAACTGCCGGGCAAAGGGTCGACTTCCGGGTTAAATTCCCGGGTCGGGCTAAGTATTAAAGGATTTTTCAATAAATCTAAGTGGTAGCACGGTGTCTGGAATTGTGTCCTTTATATGGTAATAGGCCACTCCCTATTACGTGGGACTCATAACATAAATAGTGGAAACTGAGTGTTACGTTGTACAGTATCATTAAGTGCCGTAATGTGCACCTCTGCCTCTACCTCGGGGCGTATAAGGCGTGATGTTATGTTATACCCCGTTTTTAACGACGTCTAAAAAATATGATATACTATGTTTGAATGATTTTTTTATTTGTTTTAGTCATTAGATAGTGATAATGGTGGCCTTATTAAAAGTTCTTTCTTATACGAGGTGTTTAAAATAATCGCGCCTTAGACGTTTGAGCTTTGATACTAAATAACTATAGGGTAGTAAGTAGCCAGGGAACGAAAATTAAAAATCTAATTAGTCCGTAAGTTAGATAATGAAAAAATATAAGACACATATTTTTTTATTTTCTCGTATAAAGTTACAATGCTTAGATAAAATGGAGGTAAGTTTAGGAGTGGGAGGTCGTTACGTCACTAAGTGCTACAAAATGTAGCGTATTGTGACGTTTATATTTCAGATTATTATATCGTCGAAAGTATTTAATTTTGTGAGATAAAAAAAAATATATGTCTAATGTTTTAAATTAATAAATAAACAAGACGGACACTAAAATTAAATTTAGGCAACTACCCTATTGTTTAAGTAATATTGATAATTCATTAAAAATCCATAGTAATGACTTCAGTTTTTTTATTAACTTAACTAATAGAATAATTCTATTTTTGACTATTCCGTACCGCACTAATATTGAAAGAGCGTACAAATCAATAATAAATATATATATTTATATATTTTTGACCATTCTACAACATTTGAATCAACATTTTGGAATGAGCACCTAGCTTCACTGACGGACTGACTGACAGACTATTATTTATTTTGTATTTGTTAACGTTTCAAAAGTACCAAATTATGGTTTCATTGAAATAAATGCTTTGACTTTGACTTGGAACATTTGGTTTTTCGTTATACATACTTATATTTTTTTCTAAATTTTGTTTTTTTTATTTACCAAATAGGATCATCCAGAAGTGATAATGAATGGGAAATCTGACTAAAAACTAATCCCTCTGATGGTTACCGACTAAAGCTTGTGTAACAAAGTAAATAAAGACTATTTTTGTAAGTACCTCCCCGATATTTTCGAAACTGGTTTTTGGGAAAAATGTTCTTCGAAATTCATTTTTTATCTTTCTTTCATGTGGTATTCATATTTGTGTAATATATTTGTGTATCCAATACACGTATGTACATACATAAACAGTTTATTTTCTTGTTCTATACATACTCTACACAGCGTCATCGTCTATTTCTGAAAGTTTTATATGTTCATGTTCAAGCAACACCTCCCGAAGGAAGGAATGAAGATTCCGTGACCTTTTTTCTCAGTTTTCTTGGGAGTTTTGCCATATTTTCCAATTCATGTTTTTTGTATTATAGCTTTAAATAACATGACGACATAAATATTGGACAATTTTGATTATTTAAATGAAATTTTCGCTCTCTCTTCTCTCTCTCTCTCTATCCTCTCTCTCTCTCTCTCTATCTCTCTCTCTATCTATATATATATATATATATCTCTCTCTCTCTATATCTCTCTCTCTCTATCTCTCTATCTATATATCTCTCTCTGTTTCCCTTTCTCTCTCTCTTCGCATATCCTAAGCAGAGATCACGCAAGTAACGCCATCTTATTCTTTTTTCATTCTAGGTTACTCACTTACTTTCATATTATGAACACACTGGTTACCTGACATAGTAATATTTCAATCATTATACACCTTAAAATTAATAAATAAAACATTGATCACCATTAAAATGTTGATGTCTTACCTCAAGCATATTCTTTATTTTATTGTAATGGGTTTGTTCACTATAACATGGGATATATGAGAAACAAAAAATGGCTATTGTCCTTAACATAATGTCATATTACGCCGTTATTAAACTTAATATTCAAATTATGTCTACAGGAACTACAAGCCTTAATCGCAGAGCGTACTCGCTGGGAATCCGACACCGTCATCCGTGAAGTGGATGATGAAGGTTCACCCTAAGATCTACCTTCCCTGTACGGCTGCTTCATTTGGTACCGGCACTTTCAGAAGTAGCACTCTAAGTACCACTTGACACTACGCCACTTGGTACCACAGTTACAGGATCAGTTCCAAGGTACCAAAGACCTTTTAGTGATATTTCGGTTGTACAACGGTACCAATTTTTGTGTGTTAATTAATTTATTTTTGTATTTCGTGTGGTACTAAAAAGTACCAGTTGATTAATTTTTGGATTTTGTGTCTGTCTACTAAGATTAGTGAAGGATGATTATTTTGTCGTGGAAATTGTTACATGTTATGTTTTTATGATTGACTTTTGAATTATTATCTTTTCAAAACACAATTTTGTCACTGCAAAGTTTAAAATTGATTTGAGAAATGGTGAAATTTCGTAACATAATAAGATTCGCTTTAAGTTTAAAAATGTATAGCATACAAGCGCAAAGTTAACATTTCAGTGACATTATTGATATATGGTGAGTTTGTTTTAAGATTTGGATATTACATCGATTAAGGGGGCGACAGGGAAGAAATTTCTTGATTGATTACAGCGTTAATGTAGAAAATGTTTGAGTGTAGAAATGTAGTTGTAGATGGTGAATTTGTGTTTTGGTTGAAGTGAATAAAGTATTTTTATGCGATAAGCCGGTAAACGAATAGACGGATCACCTGATAGGCATCGGCGTCGCCCATGGATACTTAAAACACCGTTACAAGTGCGTTACCGGCCTTTTGGGAATCGGTAATGTGGGGGTTCGGGGACTGGGGAGACTGGGTAGGGGGGTATTTGAGTCGTTGTTTCACTATGGTTTTCTGCTCGGCCGTGGTATGACTCTAATCGAGCCGGCCCATTCGTGCCGAAGCATGGCTCTATCACACTTAAGTTTTCGGTTACCCCTTCTAATTCCTTCGGTGTTCCAAGTGTCCATGGTTGGCGTCATTTGCCGCCTTTTAATATTTAAAAGTATGAAGCTGCATACTATCTAGAATTAATTGTGCCTCATGCCTATGAGTCGCGACAGTTATTTCTACTTCGCAGTATGTAAAAACAACAAATATATTTATGCTAGACAAACTCAAAATCCCTTGTTTTGGCTATCTCACATGTTTATTCACTTCAACCATTAATTGGATTGTTAGAAAGTTAACATAATAATATCGAGCTTCAATCTGAGAGAGGTATAAGCAGGACACTTAGATCTTATGATCAAAATTGTTAGTCGCCTTCAAAAAATATGAAAATCGAGTTCTTCGTAAACGAATTTTTTAATCGCATAATTCTTATTGTTAATCGCGTAGTTACATTACTAGGTGGCGCTGGTGTAGTTTTAAAGGCATTATAATGTACAATTAAGTATAAAATCGTTGAAAAGTTGTGTTAAATATAATTTTATGTGATGTATCTCATATATCTGTCTTTTTCGCATTTTAACTAATCTATCAGTTAGAAGGAGACAAAACATACCAATACCAGTTCTCGATAATTTTAATTACCTCTCATTGTGATAATAGTGTATATTATTTACAATTTCAATATAAGTTTTAAAGTTAAAGGGTTGGTCACTTTAATACTATGACAGCGCCACCTACGTTGAGTAAAATTCCGTCTATTTTACGTTCAATTATATCAAGATCAAGTCAGGTCGGAATAGATATCTACCTCATGCATAATATTCAATATATTTTACGTGGGCCACTATAGTAGGTACTGATTCTTACTGAGAACGTCCACTGCTGAACAAAGGCTCTAAGGAGGTTAGTCATACTCTCCAAGCTTAGCATGTGGCTAGAGGATTGCAGTTAAGTACTCAATTAAACCCTTAGGCTAAGAACTAACGGCGCGATTTTCTCCCGCGACCGCCGTGGTGGCGGAATGGAGGCGGAATTTTCAAAACTCACAAGACCCCAGTTTACTGCGATCTCGCAGACGCCGCGGTTGTGTTTATTGCCCGCAAACTTGGCGGTTTATTATCGCAAAACGGGCCGGACTTCCCATTGCGATCACCCGCCAATCAATCACAGGGCGCGTGGGAGACGCCGCGGTGTAGCGAGAGCCACAAACATACGCAACCGCCGCGGGCATATACGCGCAGTGACAATTGCTTTGATTTTTTATATACACATCTCTATTCTCCAAAAGCTGCGGGTGCCTACCCGGCGGGCGCCGAAGAAAATCGTGCCGTGTGTCTTTAGCCTTAGAGTGCTACGTCAGGCACCGCTACCACTAACGCCTGCCTGTCAAACCGGTGTCAATCCTCCAAAGGATTGACTTTTACCATTTTAAACTTGATAGTTAAAGTGTTAGGACGTTACTCGTTCTCAGTGATCACAGGTTTCGGAGATACCTAGGGCCATATACTAAGTCTGGTTGGTATATTCCGAGTCGGGTTGTAAACCATGACAAAGGAGAAAATTCTAGCGTGTGCCTAAGGTTCTTCAGTAATTCAAGTCAGAGTACTATAGTGGTCTTATTCTTATTTCAAAATAACTAGCATTAAAACGCTTATAGGCTTTCATTGTAATAGATTGAAGACATACTTGACTCTACATTCAAATAGCCAAGATTCTAATATTGAAACTGTGTACCTCGTTGGCCATGTGGTCAAGTGTGACTGCGGTGCATAAGCTAAAGTAGTACTGGGTTTTTTAAAACAATCTCAATAGTAGCACAGAGTCTGGAGTTGTGCCCGGTATAGCAATATACCTATTACATTGGACTCATAACATAAGTAGTGAAAAGTGGGTATTACATTGTACAGTGGCATTAAGTGCTGTAATATGCACCTCTGCCTACCTCTTCGGGTATAAAAGACGTGGTGTTATGATATGTCTGCATGCATGTATGCATTCTTGTATTAAATGTAACATTAACAACTTTGATAGAGTATCCATGGTGTCATGGTCCAAGGTAGCTTAAATTATATACCATTTACACCATTAATATACCATTGACAAAACGTCAACGTATACTACAAAATACTGTTTTGAGTGTCAACACTTTTAAATGACCTGAAAACACAATCTAAATATTAAAACGCTGAAGATAGTCATGTATGTCTTCATTCTAACTATATCATAGGCCTAGTCTTCCGTATCTTACTGTTGTGAATATTTCTCGTCATCCATTCTATGGGTGTCCCACCATTGGGATTAAAAACCCACTGTCCGATTATAACTAGATTTAGATATAGGTTAAAATGTCGAATTTTACATTTTATATAGCTTGACATTAAACGATGAAAGTGGCATTACTTAGGAGATATTTTAGCTTATAATATTATTTAACTGCTTATCCGGGTTGGGGATTACAAACTTATGATTAGAAATAATAAGTCCAGGTTTCCTCATGATGTTTTCCTTCGCCGTTTGTCAGTGGTGTCTAGATAATCTTAGAAAATACATAATTATAACTCGGAAAAAGTCACATTGGTACTTGCTGTTGGTAGGTTTCGAACCCGCTCCCTCATGCATAAGAAGCGGGCATCTTAAACCTCTGGGCCACCACGATAAGACCCCATTAGACGTTGAATATTTGACAACTCCTGTGATTGGACTAAAAATCTCTTTGCACCCTATGGTAAGGAAAAAATCGTTAGCCCTCATTAAGTAAAGTTCCACAGAATCAAATTCAATTTACATACAAAACATAATTTTAAATATGGCGCTGGTAAACCAGCAAAATTAAATATGATAAATATGCGTATATCAAAAACTTACAACCAAAATTAATTTCTAAGTCACTTTTATCTTAAAAAAAAAACCAACAAAAATAATCGTCCTTAATTTGCCAAAAACACATATCATTAAACAAAATGCTTTAGTATTTTGTCACAAAACTTCCATAAACACAAATATAATTATAATTAAAGATGTATTCTTTATAAAGTCGTTAAAAGTATTTTTAGAGACAAAACAAATCAATTTCTATTTAAGAGATTTTTTATTTAGCGCCTTGAAACTGATATTTTGCGCTAAGTTGCGCTAAGTGCGCTACACTGCGCAAACTTGCGCTTATAGTTTCTAAGGCAATATAATCGATTTAATACTAGGAGTTAATTGCGAAATGCTAGATAGCTTAGTTCAGCCGTGTATTTAATGTAATATTAGCATATGAGGCAACATAAATATAGTATTTTAGGAAATCATATCACATTTATTGAAACACCAACCACGATTCCTATTTTACGAATCGATTTATATCTAGTGCATTAAATTAAAGTATAGAAGGCTAGCTCTGGTCCTATGAATGTCAATTGTTGACAAAAATTTGTTTAATTTCAATAACATGGACATTAGTCTACTATTATAAAACTAACTATTTAATCTATTAGTTACCAAAACAATGTGATTATTTTTTAAATACTTTCAATTGAGCAAACAATAAAATATGAATACCTAAATAAAATTCTTAGATCTTCTTTTTATTAGAAAACAAACTTTATTACTTAACATTAAAGTTCATAACGCATAATAAATGATAACACCAGTATTTTAAAGTACAACGTTCATAATATAATAAGTAGCTTATTTATTTTTCAGTATTTTGTAAAACACTTATGACAGTGCCTTCGTGAATAGTTTTGTCGGCAAATTAGATTAGATGAAGTACCACTTTGGTACTTTATAGTGACAGCACATTAAATTCACTGGGTGATTACACTTTTAGTGGCACTTTTGAAGTCCATTATGGTAGGGACACAGATGTTTTATGAATGACGAAATTGAGTAATATTTTAATATGTTTTATGTACTTCGTTTTGTGATTGATCGTCTCTATTTTTCAATTTCGTTGATATTATAAAGAGGTGACGATCAAAGGCCTTAGTCCGAGTTTGTATTACGTTTATAGTAATCGAGCACGCGTTCAGCGCTCTGATTGGCCAGCTTCAATGAACCGACCAATCAGAGCGTCGAACGGAGAATAGGAACTATAACTTGTAATTCTGAGAATTGCTAAAGACTCGACATGAGTCAGTGAGGTAAGGTCTTCTAACCTTTTCCTAAATTGTATATTTCAAGACTAATGTCGGAATACTGAAACGTTACTCAATTTTAAGTCGCTTAAGTATAGTTCTGTCACTACTAATTCTTTGTAAAATGACAGAGATGGCACGATATTTAAGCACGACATAAAATTGAGAATGTTTCAATATTCCGGCATACGTACGTCGAAACGACGGCGGGTATAATATCACTTGATACTTGACGGCGGACATAATGACAGAAATGGTTGAAGCACCAAAATATTAGTGGTTTTTTTTTTATGTGTGCGTATATAATGGGTTACTACCACGTTACCAGACTTAAAGAAAATGATAGATGTCCTTCGTGTCAATGTGTTTATGTTCTGCGTGTAAGTCTATAGTAGCCAGGTGCCACAGTCGTTATTTGAAGAGACTATGTCCGCCTTTTTTTCAACATTCTTGTTCAAGACTATAATTTTAAGCCACCGGTCACTGTTTCCTGGTTTTTGTCTAGTACTTTGATAGATTGCATTGCTGGCGTCGTAACGGGTTGAATATCAAAAATTGATAATAGTTTTGGGAAAATGATATAAGATCTTACACTTTATTAGCGCTGACGGATTAGCTCAAAAACTCAAAAAAATAATTTATTATTATTATTTCGTAACATTTTTTACTATTTATTAGTATAATAATTGGTTTTTAATTGTATATTTTGATATTATTGATTTATAAGAAAAAAATGTTAAGTACATAACATGATACTAAAAATCATGCCTTATTTGTTAAGCAATAAGATTGCTTTTTGTGGTCGCTTGTTACTGAATGTTGAGATTATTATAAGACGCTATTGTATTGTGATTTTTGATAAAAATAATTATGCTCTAATACTCAACGGTTTTGAACTTTAAAATAGACTTTGAAAATATTTCTGTCTTAATCAGAATGAGGTCACAATTGAGTATTTTAGCATAAATATAAGTCAAAAATAATTTTATGACAATTTTTAAAGCTCATACATTTATTTTAGTTACGTCGGTACGACCAATTTGTTATTAATTATTATAATTTTAGCAATACACTGAAATAATAAGACGTTTTTTAATATTTTTTCATAATAATACAAAATAAATCGATTATTTTGTAATTGTGTAACAAGCAAAGGATATATTTTGAAATTGTATCGTGTAGAGTATAATAATTACATTATAATAAGTGTTGTGATGATTATTAATATAAATTACTAGGTATATTAATGCGCACTCCATTCTATTAGCGCTAGGACACTGTTAGGCAAGAACTTTTTGATGAACTTAATAATAGTCCTTTTACTAGGGCTCTCTGAATCGAATAAATATAGTTAAAAACCATAAAACTGCAATATTATTTGGTATATTTCGATTTTGATATTATTTTAAATGTAGAGAAGGATTAGAAGAAGTACAAAAAACTAATATTTTTATGAGTAACAATTTAATAATACCCTCACTACCACGTGTCAATCAGACATGAAAAGGTTTATTTCTCTTAAATTAAAACCTTCGTGAGACATACTTGGATATTATACAAGCCCATTTTCGCTCACCTTACATTTAACCCAAAGGCTGACTGGGAGAAAATTCCATATAGCATTAAGTCCGCCTTATGTACCTTATTTTGTGATTTACTTCAAATTTCGTATGATTGTTACTAACAGGTCGGGTCAACATATAGGCTACATATTATCACCCTATCACCTACGGGGTAAGCGCAGTAAATCACTATTCCACGCGAACGAAGTCGCGGGCACCGCTAGTAATACTAATATAATAAGAAATGTATCCCGTACCAGTAGGTACACCCCTTTTGTGAAGTTTGTTAAAATATTGAGAAACCAACCATAATTCTAACTAAATAATCGAATTCTGTAAGATCTCTGAGTATGATCGCACTTTCTAACAGGCAACGAACTTAAGCCTATTATGAAGTTCATCAAAAAGTTCGTAACTAAGGCATTATTAGCACGGCATTGCAAGTGATTAAGTGAATCTTCGCTAGCGGATATTTTGTGATATATTTATGCGTTACGTTGCGAATTGTTATTGTTTTTTCATTTTGTCTATTAATAAAATTAGTGTGAATATTTTTTGTGTTTTATTTTTCTTTAACATGCATGAACCTACAATCAACTTTAACAAGCCTCATAGCTTTTCTTAAATACATATATTTTCACCTTTTTGCAGAAGAACATATAAGTATTGTGATGGAAGTATGAAATCATATCTAATTATACGCACAACTGAAGCAGTGGGCTAAGAATTTATAAGGTTCCATATGACTTAAGCACTATTCAGAATAACACGAAACAAAATACAGATAAAAATGTAAAGATTTGTAGCGACAGAACCTAAAACATTAATAATCACTGTAATTTGAAAAGTATACTTAAGTGTGGGAGAGCTATGCTTCGGTACGAATGGACCAGCTCGACCGGAGTAATACCACGGCCTTACAGAAGACCGACGTGACGTGACGACGTTGTGTTTGTTTCGTTGCATGAGTGAGGTTACCGGAGGCCTAATTCTTCCCCCTTTCCCAATCCCTGAATTCCTAACAAACCTCAAATTCCTAATCCCAAAAGACTAGTAAAGCACTTGTAACGCCTCTAGTGTTCCAGGTGTCCATGGGCAACGCCGATTGCTTACCATTAGGTGACCCGTTTTTCTGATGTTGGTCATTACTTTGCCAATCACCTAGTACCAATTGAACGTTGGCCTAAGGCATGAAAAAAAATTTACAGATTTTGAAGACTAGTTTAATTTAATAGGTACATGTGTAGATATGTCATAAATAAATACTTAAATATTAAACTGTATTCTGCGTCGTAGGTACATCAAGTGAGTGTGTCCTTATAACGTTAGCGTAGTAATGCGCAGACGCACGCGGCGTGCGCTTGCGCCCCGGATCTGTGAAGTTCACTTCGTATAGACCGAACTTCACACTGGAAAAGAAATGATGACAATTTAATGATAATGTCAAAAAAACATTAAAAAATCGAAAATCCATTGCTGCACTATTAATAGACCTCGTATATATAAGATGATTTCCCATATCCTTCAAGATAAAGATTGAGGAAGATTTTGTTTTTGGTATTTGAGGAAATATTCTACAATCATTATTTTTCTTTTTTATTTTATTAATACGTTGCCCCACACTAGGATTTCCTCCTGTGTCGTGCGTGCGTTTACAAACATACAAGTTCACATACACATGACACCCAGACCCATAACAACAATTTGTGGATTACACAAAGACGGAGCAGGTGCGGGAATCGAACCCGCTACACTTGGCGCAGCAGCCAGTAGCCCAGCCACCGCGCCAACAATAAGTAAGTCAAATAAGTAGGGCAATGACAACTCACCCAAAACCATTCATCCATTCAAAGTTATCCATGAGTGTCCAGGCAGTGTAAGCTGTCACATTCACACCATCCTCCTTGATGGCCAGTAGGACCTGCAAAAGAGAAAAAAATAGAATTTCATATCACAATAGCCTATGACACTCTTATGGTCTACGGGCCTCCGCTACATATTAGGGTATGCCATGCTGTACATGGTCCGCAGGCTGATTAGAGATCGTAGTATGAAAGGTTCGGAGTTGTCAAAGAGCACTGTTCTCTATAAAATGTTGTCTGCCGTCATCACCCGACACTGGCAGTATAGTCGACAAAACTGAAATGGGAGACTGTTGCCAATCAAAAAGAAATAAAATTTGTTATCCTTATGACACTAGCGGGGAGAAAAGGTGGTGACAAATTCATTCTAAGTAGTTTGCTATCATTGACGGTCGGTACGTTGCCGTCATCATACGATAGAAGACTTTCTTTTTTGGGAAAATCATCGAATGACTGCTCCCGCCTGGGTGAGGCGGGAGGGAGTGTCAGACTCTTACTGACTAAAAACCACCCCGTTCCTTCTCCTGCACGTCGAGCCAGAGCCCCCCGGTTACCCGTTAGGTTTTCCGCGACTCCGAATCGGCATCAGCCCTACTGGGCCAATGTGTGGTGGTCTGATGGCTCTGTGAGGCGCGCGCAGACCGCGACGCGCCTTACGCTCGGGTCTGGTTCTGGCCGAGGGGTGAGTGGGTAACTCACCCCTCGGCCAATTTAAAAATCTGCGTGAATAACATGCCTCACCTGTTCCAAATAATCCCTATAATATTGGACCCTTTCCTGATCATCCAGTCCTCCTCTTGTCGCCAGTCCGTTCTCAGTAATCATGAACTCCATATCTCCGTACTGCTGCTTCAACCAGACCAGGTCCTTACGCAGACCTTCAGGATTTACCTGTGCGATTGAAATAGTTTACGTCATAAGAAAGTAAAGCCAGGTTTCTCAGGTAGACATCTACCTGCCTGAGATACTAAATAATAATTATATTTTTGGGGATAGGAAATCAACTGTTCTTTAAATAAAACATCACTGCACATTAGGATTTCGCTCCTGTATCGTGGGTGGATTTACAATCAAATAATATGTACTACATCACATCCAGACCCGGAACAACAATTTTAAGGCAAAGCAGTGTTTTATGTTGGAACTCACAATACGTTGGGTACCAGAATATTTAGGATATTAAGTCCACATGGACCCATAGCCTTAAATATGGTTTACAAGTTTGAGTTTAGATTGCCAATTTAACTAATATACTTACATAGAACCAAGAAGAAGAAGCTTGTGACCATTCCGGTTTCCTCTCAACGATGGCGTTAAGATCGATGGCGTCACCTAGCGGCCAGGCTGTGAACTGTTCGCCTTCCCTCGCTGGTCGGATCTGACGACTAGTGTAGTGGTTGAATGCGAAGTAGTCGTAGGTTCCTATAATGAAAATAATCATCGTCAGTCATAATACGTCTATTGCTGACCTCTAACCCAAAGTGGGAGAAGTCATTGGATGATTTTCCCCCTCAAAAATAAACGGCCTTTCTTTTGAGGTTTGCCAATTTTGCCATTATCGGTTAGGTAACCAAATATTAATTTGAGAATGCTATTAGCCGTCCAGATGGGGTCGGGGAGGCAGAGGTTCAGAAGTAAATATCGTTTTGCTGAAATAATGGTGATAATGAAGCCAAGGATACACTAGAGGACCAGTACGTCGTTGCCGGACTTCGCTCGACATTTCTAACAACATCGCGCGACATTAGACTGCCTTGTGAAACAAAACTTCATGATGTCGCCAGATATGTCCGGCGGGTCAGTGTATCTTTGTCTTAATGACTACTCCTCCCACTTGGATTGACTGCGTACAATATTATGTGTTATACTTATATTTAGGATCTGAGAAAGCTTAATACTTTGTTACGCCTTTCGATTTTCCAAAAACTCATTTACCCTTTTTACTAAATTCTGGAATTTAGAACCAGCTGATAGAGTTTTTACAAGAACATCTCAATACAATAAATCTCTACCTTTAACGAGCTCAATCTCCTCGGTGTGAACGGAGGCAGCTGAGACCTTGGGTATCCTCTCTTCAAACTGACTTCTTCTAACACCTTCTCTATAGTCGGTGGCCATCCACCTTCTTTCGAGTATATAGGATGGGCGTACCTGCCTCCCTAGATAGAAAAGAAAATACCTATAAAAACTCATCATCATCAATGGTCTCCAAAGCACTTTGGAACTCCTTTGGTATCACGGGAGTTCATGGGCGGTGCTCATCGCTTACCATCAGATCATCCATTGGCTCGTTTGTCGGCCTACCCCATTAAAAAACACATAACATGAATTCTGTCATTCCTGTTGTAATGAACTCCTCGCATGGAGATTTTCCAAAAAGACCATACCTAATAGGTTTCTACTTAGTGCATGGACGGCAGGTTTGCTTAGGCTACCGGAGTTTGCCTACCATCAGACGCCTCGAGAGCTTTATATGGTTATAATGAAAATAAATAAAAATAGTCTTAAAACTAATGACTCACTACATTCTGTCTGGCTAATTCTGCAAGATCCTCGTGCTCAGGAGATGTAGGTTCATACCAGATAATTTGATTCGCTATTGACACTTTACCTGGAAACAAAAATATTTTCAATTCATCTTCATGTTTTTTTCGTAAAAGTTAAATGATCAACTAAATTAAAGTTAAATGATCAGCTGATCTCTAAAGACTGAATCAGTTAAACGAAGTTCCCATTTTATTCTTCATAATTGAAGAATGATGTAAGTAAAGAGAATTGCTAAATCAAACAAAACTTTCTTACCATGATATTTAGGTTTAAACTCCTTATCATACAGCCTCCAAGCCTTGGCATGGGCTAGCATCACATACTTATTGCACAAGTAAGCCCCAACTTCAGGGCTTTTGACAGCAGGAGCGAAAGTATCAGCGTTGTAAACACCATCACACACGATCAGCGGTTCATTGATCGTCAGCCAGAACTTGACGCGGTCTCCGAAGTGATTGTATGCCACCTTCGCGAAGTCCTCAAACCAGTCTGCAATGAAGGGATTCGCCCAACCACCTGGAAGAAGATTAACTCTTTCTTTAAAAGGTAATTCAACATTGACTGCAGTATAATTAGCAATTTCAGTTTTCGTTTTGGTTTTATGGTTTTGTTGAGCATTGCTGTAGAATAGTACCTCTAGAACAATATTAATTGGTTCTTTCACTATCTGAATGCCCTAAGCACGAAGTCTGGTGTAGGTATTAGGTACACTAGTCTCTTAGTATGCATGAATGCATTAGTGGAGATACCATTCATATGATAATTTTACCATCGCAATGCTCAACAGTTTAATCTTTGGGACTTTTTGAAGTCAGTCAGACAATGGTCCAATAACCCAGTACTCTACAAAAAAGTACTGCCATAAGCTGTGGCGTAACTATACTGTTCGAGGTACATGGCAAATTCATTGGATGGGCCCCTTTGCCTATTAAAACAGATTATTTGAGGCAAGAACACAAAAACAGACATTCATTATATCCATAATTACCTAGTACTATGGGTGGGAATCTCTGCCGCTCTTTCGGCTGGGGGCCCGTGACAAGGCAAGTCTTACCAACCATAAGCCATAAGATAACCAATAGTTGTATTATCTTGGAAGATGTTTAGGGATATTTTCTTACCAAGGTCCTGAAGAGACTGCGGCAAATCCCAGTGGTATAGCGTGACGAGCGGCTCTATCCCCTTCTCCAGGAGTCCATTGATCAGGTTGTTGTAGTACGCTATGCCGGCTTCATTGACGTGGTTGGGGAAACCAGACGGGAGGATGCGGGGCCAGGATAGGGAAATCCTGGAAGATGAAGATAGTTTTTGAGACACTGAACTTGGTATTACGAAATAGTGCAATAATCGAGGGAAGTGGAAACTATCGATTTTTTTTCTCCTCTTATAATGTCTTCTGATCCACTTCGTTGTGGGAACCAAGACAGTTACTCATGTCCCTGGGACGCGCCGGACTTCAGTGTTCCGGTGTTTCCATGGTTGTATCTACTGTAGATCCTGGATTACAGGAGTTGCAGTGGTTTTGGGAGGTTGTGGCGGGCTTGTCCCATTAAAAAAAAAACGAAATAGTTTAAAGTTTTCAGTATGGAGTTTGGTCGAGCACCAGATGATGATAGGCGCTATTTTCTATAGAACTTATAATGTACTAACATACATAACATCACACCTTTTATCCCCGAAGGGGTAGGCAGAGGTGCACATTATGCCACTGTACAATGTAACACCCACTTTTCACTATTTATGTTATGAGTCCCATGTAATAGGGGGTGAGCCTATTGCCATATACCGGGCACAATTCCAAACTCCGTGCTACTACTGACTTATAATGTAATTTATAATAAACCATCACTATCATCAGATGACATATGCACACTTCTGAATAGGAGGGTAAAGTTAGCCATATTCCTCAATTCTTTAAACTCTGTAGTTCAGAAGTCATTGCGAACTCTTAACCTAACAATCTGGCTCTTGAATTCTGGCTCATGGGGCTCGTCTGCAGTCTGATGATGATTATCCTCACCTGTAAAAGTGCAATCCAAGTTCCTCAGCCATCTCAATGTCTCTCCTCCAATAGTGGTAGGAGTCGCAAGCTACATCTCCATTGGTCAGGTCTTCGATCCTGGTCGGATCGTCATGCACGAAGCGATCCCAAACACTTTCGCTTTTACCTTAAAAGCATTTAAAATTGTCAAAGTCAGTATAAAAGCAATCAAATGAAAATAATTTTAAAGTTTTTTTTTCTTGTTGGTTTGGTTGTTCTGATAGAGTCGATGGGGAACCAGGATTCGTTGCTTGTGGGGATGGTTGTCTAAGCGGTTATTTGTGGCGATTGGTTTATTGATATTAGCGGTGAAGAATCACAAAGCTATTATGGCGCCGGTTCTTTGACACCGATTACAATTCATCGTAGGTCTATTAAGACCTCTCTCTACGAGTTAGTAATTACAAACATGTAATCCCGATTCTCTTTGCATAGATTTTCTTAAGTAGTTAAAAAAATACTAGGTATCTATACAAAACTCAGTGAAAGTAAAAAACTGTCCATCAATAAGGAACACCTTCTGATGCCTTACCATCTTCATTCCACGCTCCTTCGACCTGATAGGAAGCAGTGGCTGCCCCGAATTTGAATCCAGGTGGAAACGTCAGGTCAATAGACCACACCGCGGATAGGGCGGCGCTGTAAAATATAGTATGCCATCAAAAACTGAACTCGATTAAAGTGCATAATTTTCAAATCTTTACAATTGGCCGAACGAATCAGGTTAATCAGAGTTTTAAATGTGGGAGAGCTATGCTTCGGGACAAATGGGCCGGCTCGACCGGAGTGATACCACGGCTTCACAGAAAACCGACGTGAAGCAACACTTGCGTTGTGTTTCGTCATGTGAGTGAGGTTACCGGAGGCCCAAATACCCTCCCCTTCCCCAATCTCCCCATTCCCTGAATCCCCAACGATCCTCAAACTCCTAATCCCCAAAAGGCCGGTAACGCACTTGTAACGCCTCTGGTATTCCAGGTGTCCACGGACAGCGCTGATTCCTTACCATCAGGTGATCCGTCTGCTCGTTTACCGGCAGTGCCATAAAAAAAATCAGAGAACACTGCTGCCCGGTCTCATGTGTAGTCTCTTAAACAGTTTTTAAAACGACGACGAAAAGAGTCAGAGACAGACGAGACAACAGTTGCATAAATATGTTACAATAGAAATAAGGAAACAGATTAGCATTAATATAACCATAAATTCATAATATTATGCATTCTGAGACGTAGTTCTTATTATCAAACTATTTACTTAGAGATAACTTTATTGTAACAATGTTGGTAACTCCTCAATGGAAGATTTAATTTGACTCACAATGTGTTTAAATCGTAGGTATTATAAAATAGCTACAACCGCTGTATTATAAACTACTACTAGTTATAGTAGGTACTAATATACCGACATCAGAATTTTTTGATCAGTGATATTACCTACCGCAGACCTATTCCTAATTCCTTATGCCAAATCCTCAAAAATGCACACAATATCTAGTACACACGGCTACACATTGGCTACACATCGGCAGCTAATCATCGACAAGATGATGCGACGCGATACCAGGATAAACTGGATTTGTATATATTGATGTGTGGCCGTGTGTACATCATATACTTTTTAGAGAAAGTCTTTTTGAGGAGAAAAATCATTGAATGACTTCTCCCGCCTGGGTGAGGCAGGAGGGATTGTTAGACTCTTACTGACTAAAAACTAAACTAAACTAAAAACCACCCCGTTCCTACTCTTGCACTTCGAGCAGTTTTTATTTTTTTTTATCTCGGTAACCAATCAGTGATTGCTGAGGGTGTAGTGTAGTACATAGTAATTCGTTTTACGTTTCAAATAATGTAAACGAGACCGCCTTCAGGGCTCTAATTGGTTGGGTCATAGGAGCCGGCCAATCAGAGCCCCGAACACGGTTTCGTTTACATTATTATAAACGTAAAACGATCTGGTACTAAGCCCTATATTTTCCTGGTTTATATCAAACTGGTACAAAGCCCTCTATTTCTTTACTGGTTTATATTAAGTCGTCGATATCAAGTCTTATAATCTTCAATCGAAAATATGTAGCTATACATAAATCTACTGATATTATCTTGAACTGTCAAAATAAAGAGATAAATTAAATAAACGAGTGAATACCAGTGATAAAGTTCAAGAGTTTACTGACGATAGCGACAGGTACCAAATAATCTGTAAGCACTTAGGTAGAAAGCAGGTTATGTATTATATCATCACGCTTATTGTTGCCTGAAAGGTAGACATATATATTTACTTTTTAGCAGTCATGATATTTGTCACCATCACCATCAAATCGCGACAGTCACTACTGAATCATGGCCTTCATCTGCGTATGAGAGCTCGCCATAATTTCAGAGCTTTATAGTTGGGTTGGAGAGGCCAGGGCCTTAGTGCCCACTGCTGGGCAAAGGCCTCACAAAGAAGGGATGAGCATTAATCACCACTCTGACACAAACGGATTATAATTACAAATTATTAATCCAGGTTCCTTCCTTCATGAGAAAGGGCTAGGCCAACACGACATTCGTCACTATTACAAATCAAATAACTGGTTAACAGTATAAGGTAAATTCACCTATTCGCGTCCATTCAAAAAAGTTCGCCTATTCGCGTCCACCCACCAGTTTGATTGAGTCCATTTTATGGATCGCCATGAATGTAAGATACTTAAAATATTTAAGATCAAACAGATATCTACTACTACTAAGTACTTAATATGGTGGTGGTCTTTAAATGACTTTCAAAAAACGATGACGTTCTCAATTTGTCTGTATTTTTTATGGAATAAGCAGGTGAACGAACAGACGGATCACCTGACACCCGAAACACCAAGGTGTTACAATACAAGTGCGTTACCGGCCTTTTGAGAAATGGGAATTTGAGGATTGCGGAGGATTCGGGGATTCGGGAGACTAGGGAGGGGGGTAATTGGGCCTCCGGTAACCTCACTCATACGACGAAACACAACGGAAGCGTTGTTTCATGTCGGTTTTCTGTGAGGCCGTGGTATCACTCCGGTCGAGCCGGCCCATTCGTGCCAAAGCATAGCTTTCCCGAAGCATGTTTTATTTATTTATTTTAGGGAACTTTTAAAAGGCGTTCCGTAACAAGGACGCGACCCGGTGGGTGGACGCGAAAAGGCGAACTTGCCCTATGATAATTTGATACTTGTATCGTTGCTACATGTTTAGTAATGTCACGTTTTGTTCCGCGTCCTATTTGATAAAAATAGTTTACTTACTGACAGGTCCACTCGACATGAGACCCCCTACGTAAATATTATGATAAGGATAAAGATAATTTTATTATTTCATTATCTTCTGCTAACGGTTTTGCCCGCGTTACACAAGAAAAAGTAGTCTATATGATGGATTCTTCCAGATAATACGTAGTCTATCTCTATGCCAATAGGGTAGATGACTATGTCCTTCTGGTAGATTATTTTAAAACATTAGCCACATATTTTTTATTTTTTTACAGAAACGAATACTTTCGACGGTATATTGATTTTAAATGTCGCGTGAGCGTGACGTCACTTGTTAGTACATTTAACACGTAGAAATGACGTTTTAGCCCCCACTCTAAACTTTGATTCGATATATCTAAGTATCATTTTATTAAAAGTACATCAAAATAAAAAAAATACGTGTCTAATATTTTTTCATTACCTAACTGACGGACTAATTAGATTTTTAATTTTCATACCCTGTCATCATCCCTATTCAACTGTACTGTTGGCGCGGTGGCTGGGCAGCCGACTGCCGCGCAACGTATAATGTTAGATTCCCGCACGTAGCAACTCTTTGTGTAATCCACAGATTATTGTTCCGAGTCTGGGTGTCATGTGTACAGTGTATGTGCACTTATATGTTAGTCAACGCGCCCACGACACAGGAAAAAAAATCTAGTGTGGGACAACTTTTTTGCGAAAAACAACTGATACAGATCATTTATTTTAATTTTGAGGTATCTAGGTAGGTACTACCTATGTTATATGTTCAATGGCTGTGAAATAAAACCACAAAGTTCCGCATTACATTACTAACAGGAAAATCATTGTTAATGTAATTTGATATAAATGGATTATGTACAGCAGTAATTGGACTTCAGGTTCGCTCACTGTTTGTAATTAAGATTGTTGTGTACGATTTCAATCTGTCGTCTGTATCTGTACTTATGTAAAATAAATAAATCAATCAATAACAGTCATACAGTACCTATAGCTTAGAAGCCAAAGACTACCAACAAAAAAATCAGTTCCTGACTATACAAACAAAATATAAGTAGTAAGATCTACCTATCACCTTCCCTAAGTATAAAACAAAGTCGCTTCTCATTGTATATATATACATAGGTACTTAGTTCAATCTTAAAAATTTCGCAACGAATTTTAAAGCAGTTTTTTAAATACATAGACTGCTTTCGACTGGAAAGTTTATAGATACCAGTGCGTAACCGCGTCCTTAAAGCAACTTAGTTATAGATATGACTAAAGGAGAACGGCAGATTTTGTACCGCTTCGCTAAAAAAAAGATTTGTCATTAAAAAATTGGGTCATTATAGAACCTCCTAAGTACGTTATGTTAGCATATTTAATAGATTTTTAAAACTTGGGAAACCCTAGAAAAACTGATATTCAATAATGATAAAAAGCAATCCACTATACGTAAAACGAACCGCGATTGACGTTTACAAAGTTGCCATGCGTAAAGATGAAATCAGAGCATATTGAATTTCGCTATTTCATAAACTCATTTATTTTAATATCTATCAATGAAATATTTTCCTATCCATTTCAAACATTTTTATAAGTAAATATAAAAATCTACATCCAATCTAAATCTACGTTTACATGGATTATTAATGATAATTAACATTTTAACAAACTTGAATATTATGGCAATGTTGAACTGGCATTTGTCTTGATGACATTGACAATTAATTTGTCAATACTGGCGCATTGCTGTTTGTTTCAAATGCGATGTTA